CTGCATTTTTGATTTTAGACCATACTGACTGTGGATGGCTGCTCTGGATTTGAAGTGTCTATTTTGGTAAACTGGGTGCATTAGATTGGTGTTATTTTATATTGAGAGCACTGGCAGTTGCGACATTGCTCAGCAGCTGGAGAGACATCCTTTGGTTTTCTGAGGAGGAAACCCCTCATCCCCTATTGAAACCTAGCTCCAATTCTCCACGTATAAACATGCACCTCACACTTCCAGTTGATTTAATAACCGAGTTATATGGTTCAATCATCATTGCTAACAATCCAAATTACTCATTACAATCAGATCATCTGATTAAGGTGTATGTGGTCTGTGTTTCAGCGGGAGAATGCCTGTAATCACATTAGGTTCAGTGGAGTGGTGCATACTGATGCAGCTGTCGCTGTGTATGAAACATCAGGTGATGTTTATGTAGTTCAGGGAAGGATTACTACTCCATTTAAAAAGAGCTAAAACCCGAGTTCACTATATCGTTTTAAGATTCTGATTAAATATGGCAGTGTAATACATATCAGCACGTTCTGATTAAACTAATATGGCAGTGTAATACATATCAGCACCATTCTCAGGACAAACGTTTTCTATATTTAAAGCACAAAGATTTTTTTAAACCTAATATTTGCAACATTCTTTTTAGTAACACATTAGAGGGGGTTTCAGAGGAGTTGCTATGTTGGGCTGCTGCTGTACTTCAGAAGCTCATATCAGATAAACCCAGCTCTCAGACAGAGGCCTCTGGGGAAAAGCTAGTTGTAGGCTTCTCCACATAGCTGGCTATATGTGGAGAAGAGAGAGGGAGAAAGAGGAGGAGAGAATGTGTGCGAAGCTGCCAAGAAAGGCTCTAAGCCTTCCAGAGTAAACTCAGCTGATAGGGCAAACCCTCCTTCCATCACAGATCACACCTAAACTGATTCTCTCCCTCTCATTCATCCTCAGTCCGTCTGCTGATTTACATGCCTTAAAAGTAATTTACGTCATTAAGACAACAAACGACGAGGAGGGTTTTAAAAACATAATGAAAACTGGTAACATAATCAGTTAATATGCAACATTACAGCTGTGTATAGGCTGAAAGGATGAGGAGGTAGGGAGCATTTCCTCAACCCTTCCTTCTGTTATGTAACAACTGACATGCAGAGCCAAACATATCTGGTTTATTTACAACATAGTGTAGAGTTATTATACATTCATAATGTGGGGTTCTCCTGAAAATCTTTTTCTTACATGTACAGCAAGACTACAGCTCAATGATTCTTCCAGTTTCTGCATAGCTGAGAGGGTCTGTGTGATGTAACTTCTGTCACCAGTCCACAGACCTCTGTGCAGTCAGCCATGATGAGCCCAGCACTGCTTAGCTTAGCATAAAGACTAGGAACAGGGGAAACAGCTAGCATGGGTCAGTCCAAAGGTAGAAAAAAACAAACCTGCCGACAATTCTTAACTAATTAACACATATCTTGTTGTTTAATTGGTGCAAATTGATTGAGGTTGTTGTCTGATGAGGAGTTACGTGCCCTAACCACAGTTACATCCCAAGTCTCTTATAAGCACTGTCTTTTCCTTCACTTGTGTCTTTTTCTTGCATCTTAGTCCTGCCCACGTAAGATGCAAAGAAAATATGCTAGGAGAGAGGACTCGAGAAAACACGTTATTAACGACATGATATGTCCTTTCCATCCAGTCACCAAGTGATAAAGGGGTGTGTCAGTTCACACAAAAACTTCTGCAGAGGACGGTCTCGTGTATCCTTGACCATGGCGTCTCCAGCAGCCTCCTGCCTCCTGCCTCCTTGCTCCTCGGCCTTTAGAGCTGATTTGTGACGTGAGATTTGGAGCATCCTTGGTCCTTATTCAACCAGAATGACTTCCAGGTCGACCAAGGATGTAGGAACGATCTTATAAGAGACAGGAGACATACCCCATGTCTTATGAACCAACCTCAGAGCACAGTGACTACAGTGATTCTTGTTTTCACAGTGTGATTTACATAATGTAACGATGTAAGGATGTTTGTTTTACTGTGCAGCACTCTGGGCTCTCGAGTTGTAGAGTGCTATATAAATAAAGTTTATTATTATTATTAATAAAGTAAACATACCAAAACATGGCAACACTAGAGGAGGTTACACATCAGCTCTTTAGTTTCTCTTATTACATTGTCCATAAGTTCCTCAATTTATATCCTAAAATCCGTTTAATTTCTGAGGACGTGCACACACACGCTCTGAAAACAACATGTTGCTACCATGTGCACATGAATGATAAGAAAATAAAAAAGACTTCAAGTATTGTAAAAGTCCAACTAGTGTCAACTCGCACAGGCTTCGTACAAACATAACACTCTGAACAGAGACGGCTGAAAAGATCAGGTTTGTCCTCAGAGGTCATGGGTCAAATGTCATTAGTCTTCTTTTTAGATTATGTGTTTCTGCTTTTCATGTACATGCTCTGTTCTTACCTCTTAGGTCAGCAGAGAACAACTGTTTGTTCTGACTGGCAGCAGGAGTCTGCCTGTTTTCTCTGGCCTGCAGTTTTCTGACTCAGTCCAGTTGTTTCTCCCCCTCTCCATCTTCCTCCTTCCTCTCTTTCCAGTCTTAGGTCAGAGCAGTCTGGCACTTCACCATGTAAGGCTGCACAGCTGAACTGCTCCTGAGGAAGAAAAAAATAAAACTACTTTCATGATGGAACATTTTTATACTGCAACTATTTTTCAGCTGGAAATAAAAGCCAAGTTCTCATGAAGATGAAGAAGGCAACGATGAGACACTTTGTTACATTAATTATATATTCACAGATAGATTTAGGATTTTTGAATTGAACAGAATTCCTGTTTGAACCATCCACTCAGACGAGTGCTCTCAGTTTCAGGATTGCCCTGTTCACACTCCCACACTTTCACAGCTGGAGGCTGTCCAGTACAGCTGCAGTCTGATCTACAGCCAGTGAACAGCTCTTCACGGGCTTGACGGTCTGGCTCAAGTGCACCTCAATGATGGGCATTACTTTCCCCATCCATATATATCCTGCCAGTGCTGCGACTGACTAGTGATTTTCCAGTCACAAGCCAGGACACTTGATAACTGCATTTTCATCTGAAAATCACAGATGTGAACCTCATGGTGGCACTAGAGAAAATGTCAGAGAAGCACTAAATTCATTAGGATTCACCATCATGTGACCATTAACCATGTGCAATATTTGATGGCAATCCATAAGATATTCGTTGACATATTTCAGTCAAGTGTTTCCCTACCAGCTGGCCAACGCTGCACAGCTGTGCTGTCTTGGATAAAATCATCCTCCCTTTGTAAACAGATAGTCCTCTTTAACTGTAGCATTTCTTGCTACCGTACTGCATGTCTTATGTCATTGTCTATGCCATTTTTATCAATTTTTCTTTCTGATTATACAAGGCTCATTATATTTCTTCATCTCAACTTACTTTACCCTCCAACTAATAACACATTTTTTATTGTTTTTAATCCATATGTTCATAAAACAGTAGACAAGTCTGTTTTTTTTTAATACATTTTATCTTATACTTGAGCATCCCAGCTTTCCCAAAAGGGAGAATTGCCATTTTATCTGATCTTTGAAAAAATACAGCTGTCATATAAATATAAGGTGACAGAAAAATCTTCCTGTCTGAACAATACCAGCAAAGCTGACTGCACAGTACGTGACTGATCGCCTGTTTACAAGTGGATTTTCCTTATAAAGGCAGATGCAGAGCTTTCTGGATCATAGCTGAGCGGTTATTTTTACTTTATTTGAAGCTCTTGTCTGTCTTGATTTGTCCTCAGTGGATGATGCTGTCCAGGACTTCACATTGATTCAAATACACTTTGCTTGTTTAGCCTCAAAACATTATTTTAATACATTATATTTAACCTACATTCATAATGATGCTAGTTGGTAATATACTGTATGTATGCAGTTTTGAAATATGCCACATAAGTTGATGGGCTAAGCAGATGACTATTATTTTTATTATTTTTTATTACATGATACAAGACATAAGTAGGTGCCAAGGCTATTTGGTCATTTTATTTGCTTCAACAAAACCCAGATCCCAGAGGATCAGTTCTCAGGCTCTTTACTGGTGTGGTCATGGCCAAACTGTATATTTTGAGTCACTGTCAGCTGTTCACACCAGGTGCCAGGGTAATGAACACAATAGTGTGATCCGGGCATGATGGCTGATTGCAGGCCAAACTACAAGCTAGCGCTGCTGTGACCCAATGAATGCATTAAATAAATAATGGAGAATTCAAACATGGTGACCCACCTATCATTTTATGGAAAAAATATGTTTTGAATTTAAAGCTTAAGATTTTTTTTTTCTAAATTTTAAAGCTGTTTATTTTTAATTAAAGCACCCAAGTGCCACCTCCCTCAGCTTAGTTTTGTAATGCAGTAGCTTAGTTAACATATTTCTGTCTTAAATAAAGTCTATGCAGATTTTTTATGACACATTTGTAGATTTGCTAAAGCACTTGGTTAGAATTTTAACCCTTAATTAATCACTAAACCATGGTTGATTTATTATTGTACAAAAAGGCTTGAAAAACGTTTTACCAGTGGCAGGGTGCATAATGCACCATCATACTGTAACTTGTTCACATACTGGCTTGTTTGAGATTTGTGTTATTATGAATGTTATTGGAAAAGGGGTTTATTACTTCTTGAACAGACTGTACTAGGTTTTATAATTAATACAAATATTAACTCTGTTTAACACATTGGCTATTTTCTAATATTATTTATGACTGGAGAGGTAACAGATTTAAGCAATTCACTATGTTGAAACTGTCCCAGTAAAACCAGTATGCAAACCTTTTATCAGTCTTGGACTCATGGAACTGGCTGTTGCATGTATAATTCAACAGACCAGTTATCCCCACTTGCCTAAAATCATTTCTAGGATGTCCTGCCTCTCTCTCTCTCTCTCTCTCTCTCTCTCTCTCCCCCCTGCTCACACTCACACTGTGCTCACAGCCTTGAAGAGCACACTGCATATCTGATGTTTCTCTCTCCAACTCCAACCAGCTCCGCTCTCATCTGAAAGGTAAGAACCAGCATCCTCTACAGACACAGCTCTGCTTTCATTCTCATTTCATTTTAGAAGTGAAGTGAGTGACATAACTATGTTAACAGATGATGTATACGAGACAAAGATGCTTAAAATTAATCATAAACTTGGACTGTTCATTAAAACACTTTAAGTATTATTATTAAATGATGGTGAAACACACTTCTTATGAAACCCCTAAAGAGGTTCAAGTTAGTCGGGCAGTTCCTCAACCAATCTGTATCAGACTGGTTACAGTTACAGTGACACACCAGTTATGTTCCTGTGAGGAGGCTGTGTTTTATGTTAAGATACAGAGGAATCACTGCTTTTTATAAAAAAAAAATCATTGTTCACATACAGTAAACACAGCTCTAATGAGAGGGCTGGGGAGGGGGGGGGAGTGGAAACTGGACTGAGTCTCCCAGAGGGATAAACATTCATCTCCACTTCTTACATTCCCATCCAAAGCATATGATTTTATTTTAGAGCACTGAGGAACCAAATCAACTCAATCTAAACATTGATTTCATAGTTTAAAACTACAGAAGAATGCTCTAACAAGTGAATGGCCTTGAGTGTAAGCTCAGTCTGGGTTACGTCACAGAATTCACGGTGCAGTTGGCTGCATGGGAAGCTACCATTAAGAAACAAGTTGTATCATTCTGTGTTGTAGCATCCTGATGGCAATCTTAACAGGCTTTCAGAGGCTTTTCCATCTTGATGACATTTAGACTTTACAGACTTTTAGGTTAAACAATAAGACTACACCAGACTTAAACAACCTGTAGTTATTACACAAATCCTTTTGACTGTTATTTACTGCTGCCATATGTTTTCTGTATCATGTTAATATAGTACACAGTAACTGTTTTTGATGGAAATGATGAACATGTTCATATTTTTTAAAGTCATTTTACCTTGGTGTACTGGCACCCAGCAGCTGTTACTGTGACACTAACCATGCCCCAGTTAGATTAATAGGTCAATATCAGTATGCATCTTACTAACCCACGTGTATAATGCACTACTCGACAGCTGTCACATGGCTTTGTAGTCTAAGAGGATGTGCCAGATAACTGCAGCTACTTTGTTTAAAAAATGAAAACACAGCACAGCCTATCCATAGTGGAAATACACTAAGTACAATACAGAGTGGTTATAAATCTGTATGCTTATTCCCCTGGGAGCTTTATGTGTGAGTACCTGTAGGTCTGTGGGCAGCATCAAGACAACAACTGCTAGTGCTGACACACACTGATAACTCACACTCGTGGAATGACTGGCATCTGAAGTCTTCAGAACACACACACGCTGAGCAGACCTGTGAGTGTAACACAGTTTTTGTGATGGAAATTTTTCATTCTTCTTCAACTTTCAGCAACTTTCACACCTAAATACACATCAACATGTCACCCCACCCACCCCTCTGTTTGTCAGACTGGAGGCATTTGGCTCTTGGCAGCAGCGGCTAACAACAGCTGATTGTGTTTATAAAAGTACAACATGGTCCTTTCAACAGCACAAAAGAGCCATCTGTACTTCAACAGTAATGAGCATCTAAAAATAAAAGTGATTTATACACAAGCTTAGTGCAACATGAACAGAAGAGCTGGCTGAATTAAAAGTAATAATACTTTAATAACAGGCTAATGCACCTATTGACTGCCTAAACTAAAACTAAAGGAATATTCACAATTGTTCTTTAATTAGTTGGCTGTCATCAGTACAGACGTGTGGTCTGTAGCTGCTCAAGCCAAAACAAAACAGATTATTCTGTACAAAAACAACAAAACCAAGCTAATGATAACCACGGCCAACCACTTAATCCAGATGTGGAGGGGTCTGACGTCACTCTGAGGTTTCGAAAGCCTAGAAGCTGCTGTTCTGCTCATTGTTTGGAGCCAGAAAACAACAAGTTGAAGGGGGTGGACAACATGGCTGAGAAGGGACGAGCAAGCAGAAACCAGTGCGGCTGGCAGTGACAGGCCAAGGCACCTGTTGTTTTAACATGCTTAATATCTTTTTAATGGATCGATAATTCTCAGAACAGCCGTTTAGAAAGACTCCTTGAAATAATAAAAGAAGATTTTCTCAAATAATCTTAACAGAGTTTCTTGAAGCTACTGTAATGCATCTTTCCACATGACCGGAGTCAGCTGTCATCAATGGATCGCACCTGAACTGTGGCAGCACCTGTGCTCCTAACTTGAACAGCTCCTGTAATTCATTCAAGAAAAAAACAAAGATCTGAGAAGTCAGGCAAAAAAAAAAATCATCTTCCAGATTTAACCATATCCCTTGGTCCTGTGATCTTTTCTGCATTAATTAATTAATGAGCCAATAAAGACACTAGATACATCTGACACTGATTCATCTGAGCTCCAGTTGCTGCATCTTGTCCAGGTGCATGTTTTATGTAAATGACATAACACAGGCCAACCAGTCACTGTGCGTCTCTGACATGGTCCTGTGAGATGTGAGAAGCCCAGTCAGACAGAGATGGCTTGCTGAAAAATAAGAAAGGTCTTTGCTTTTTGTCCTGTAGAGGTATGTGTACTGTATGAGGCATAGACTCAGACTCAGACTCCCACATGTTTAAGTAGAGGAAAGCCTGGGTGTATTTACTGTCAACTTTGAATTCTTTCTCCAATTTTATTTTTTTTTTACTGTGGAAATGGATTACTTTTCACAGAGAAGACAGCCTGATATGTTGAATATAAGTGGCAGTCAGCACTGGCTGATGTGTACAGACCAGGAGTACAGCATGGGGCCTTAGTCACTCACATGCTGTCAGTAACACACACACACACACACACACACACACACAGCAGAGGGCCATACACATCCCAGTGCAGCCCCAAGCTGCCATAGACCAACTACTGGCATGATGAAAAGGCCAATTTCTCTGACTGAGTGGGAGAGGTAAAGGACGAAGGCAGAAATTAATATGATTAAGTGGTGCTGAATAGTTCAGGGCCAAAGAGCCGCACAGGGGCCGAACATAATGACAGGCCTTATGTAATATTTTGGATCCACTATGAGCTGCTGTCAGGGAGAGCTATAGGTTTAAAGCCTCCTCTGATATGACTCTGGGGAAGTCATTTGTTTAAGTCAACACAGCTGAGTGGCAGTTTCTTAAGCTGTAGTACCTCTATCAGCCACTAGATGCTGCCTAAGATAAATATTCACACTCCTATTAGCTGTGTTTTGGCTTCAACCAACTCCTTAGGGAAACACCTGGAGCTGCTAAATGCACAGATTTGTTCACCATCTAGGGGCCAACTTGACTGTCTGATCTTTTTGATGCTGGACACATATCTCACAGTGACTCCAACAGAAGTTGGCTGGTTTGATCTGCCCTTCTTGACTCAAGCTCCTCTCCTATTACAGTTGAATCCATTCAAGCTAAATGCCCATTTAAAATAATGTATAAATCACTGGTGTAGCTGTTTTTATTCCTCCCAGGTAGTGGATGTTGTGAACTGTGAATTTTATTTCTGCAAACTTGATGCAAATTAAACCAAGTCTCTAAAGAGAGGTAATGTACGGTGACAATATTTCACTGAACTGTACGTGCAGATAGATTATGTGCCTTCACAATCCAAAAAACCTCCTGATAGCAGAGCTGACACTTCAATTAGGTCAGAAGTCGAAAGCAGAGCACCAGAGTAGGAGCAAGTGTGTGTGTGGAAAAGTGTTAACATGTCAAGTGATAATAAGTGACTCAGAGGCAGATAAGGGTGGAAGAAACAAAAGTGAAATGATAAAAATTGATGTTGAAAAGTCATTAAATGGCCAAAATGACTGCTGTTATCTGTACTGATCTCACAATGCAGCAAAGAAACCAAATATTACAAACTGAAGAGAATATGATTAGAAAGTTCACGATAAACTCAGTAGCTTAGGCTCTATGGATTAAAAGCAGCCAGCAGGGGGCGCTAGCAGGTCCATAAATTTCAATATAGAGAAGAACTTGGCAGAGCTGGTGTGCAAGTGTTAAGATGTTCACAGTTTGTGGGAACCACTAATGCATAAGCACGGTCACCTTGTCACAGTGTTCTGACGAGAGTCCCTGATCAGATGACAAAGGGATTTAGCAGAGCGTAAGGAGCCTGCAGCTGCACTGTGAGACTCATTTATCTCCTATTTCTGCATTTCTACAGCTACTTTCTCTACTCACAGCCTTTCATTTTTACATTGTGAAGTAACCTCATAATAAATTTGAGAGGAAATATTATTAAAATGAGCATATTTGAAGATATAACAGATTTACTCTTTTTCTCTGTGTACAAACATGTTGTCATTGACACTGCTGAGTTACTGGAGTGTGGCTTAACACATCATCACGGCTCAGCTGGCATGTCGGAGCTGTTCTCTTATCATCACACCATGCACTGTGACACAGAAAGGTCACACATGCTCGCAACCAAGAAAGATCAACAGATCACCCAGAGTAGGTGATGACATGCCTTTTAATTCTCACATTAGTGAACCAAACTCTGAACTAGGTGTTTAAAGCTATTCTAACTAAATTCTTTTCAACCTAGATATAGTGAAAGTCAAAACAAACTGACACCACAAGCCACTCATAACCGTTCTTTGCTCCTCCTATCACGTCCTGTCTCCTAGTGACGATGTAAACAGCCAGTATTATCATCGGTGCCCCTCTGCCTTCCCTAACGGACATCTTCAACACCCAGCTCATCCACAGAGCCATCAGCATTGCTGATGACACCTCCCACCCCGCACACTCCCACTTCAGACTCCTGCCTTCAGGGAGAAGGTATCAGAGTCTCCAGGCCCAGTCCACCAGGTTGTGAGGATGCTGAACGCTGTCCAGTGTGAATTGACAATAAATTGACAATGATCTTGATCTTGATCTAAACTATGGATGCCTGGTTGGGACAAACTACATAATGCAGCCTCCTGTCTGAAGCCACTGTGAGCTGACTAATGAGTAAATGTGTCACTAATGTGACGCAAAGCTGAAATTATTCTCCAAATTAAAATCATATTACTTCAACACAAAAGTAAGATCATGACCATGCTTGGACGCTAATGTTACGAAAGGCACATCAGAACCAAATCTAAGTCTTTTGGCTGGTTTTAACGCTCTCCATCTCAAAAAGCCAAACTGATATTAACCTTGGTTTGTGCTCTTTCTTTGTCATACTCTCTCTGTGCAAACAACAGGAGCACTATAGGCAGAAGAGAGCTGTGGTGAGGGGTAGTTAATGATCCTTTAAGAATCTTTTCTTACTGTGATTGTTTCTTGTTCTCTGTCACCAGCTGAGAAGAGAAGAGAAGCTCCTGTTGTGTAACTAGAACTGAAGAGGTCCACTTCTGGCCAGCCTGCCTAGAACACCTGGCTGATAAAACCAGTTCACCTGTTCCAAACAGCCTGACCAGCTCTGTCCAGCTGCTCTCAGTCCAAACAGGCCCAGCAGCCTGAGTGAATTCTCTCCTTTTTTAATCCAGCAACTCAAAATCTAACCAGTGTCCATGGAGCGTGTTCAGCACATGACCAAGTCGGCCATCCGCCGAGCGTCTCAGATCGAGGTGAACCCCCAAGCCAAAAGGAACCTGCAGGAGCTGTTTGTCAACTTCACCCTCATCCTCATCTGTCTGCTTCTCATTTACATCATCGTCCTGCTGAGCAGCTAAGAGCAGCAGAGCTGGAGAGAGTTTGGCACGGCTGCACTGTGGAGGAGGGCTGGGCTGATATATGGCCTTTACCGACACACAGAGGTCAGATTTCCAAGAAACAATAATATTGCCATTTATCAGCCTAACCCTGTTTGACAACAGCCATGGAGAAGAATCATGGAGGTAACACGACGCCATGTGAAACCAATTATGGCCAAACTCTCTCAGTTCATGGCTGTTTCTACAAGAGGTGATCAGGGATCAGCTGCTCTTTCTCAAGGGAATGATCAAAAGTGACCCGAGTTTAAACCTCACTGATATACTGTGTGCATGTACATCTTACTGCTGCTCATTCACATTAATACTCTTATATTATAATGTGTTGACTGATTTACAAAGGAGACCACCTGCCTCCATTCAAGACCTACTGTATGACACTGTCTCCTGCTTAAATAATAACAGGTGCATATCAACACATCACTTTTGTTTACCTTCCACTTCTCATGAGGCCTGTTCCTTCCTGCAGCCACCACGTGCACCATCAGGAGAAACATTACTTCTTTCTTCACCTCCCAGAAACCACACAGTAGAAAAACATGGATGTACTGACGTGTTAGCACACCATTAAAAACCAAATAGGAAAAAGCGATATAACTTAAGCAGCAAGCAACATGGCTGTGTGTGACAGATGCTGTGATAAGCTGAGACACCTTTCACTAAATGAACATGCCTCAAAACAGACCTTTTCCACCAAGCGTGAGGTCCATGTCATTTTCTCTAAAGACAATTTACTGGAGCACAGTGCAAATAAAAACACAAGATGAGAAGTTAACTACAATTCCCATGTTGCATTTTAGTAAGAAACATCTAGTCACAGTTTAAAATTCTGCTCTGTGTAGGCAGTGTAAGCGAAAGATAAAAATGAATCTACTTCTTGGATAAATTCAGTTACCATGTTTTGTTCACATCTGCAAGAGCAGCTCTACACCTCTTCTGGCTTCTTCTACATAGCAACGGCAACTGAGGATCATGGGTATGGTAGTTTTCGCAGTCATCTGCCATCCCAAACTAACAGACAAAACATAATTTTCAGAAACAATACAGACATTTTTTGGAGCCTGCACGCAATGGTACACTGAGGAACTGCAACTTAAGATTCACAGCCAAGTTGGTTGCTGAAGGCAAAAGGAAGTTTATCTTCATGTGAAGTGACAGAACAGTGCTGTCTCCCTGAAAACATCTCCCTCAAAATTTGACACAGCAACAAACCGTATGAAAATATGATGTAATGCATGTGTATGTCAGTTCTCAGTGTTTCTAAATTTTAAATGAATTATTTTATTGTGAAATATGACATATGTTAATATTAAATAGATCCCTTTATTTGTATTTGTGGGCAAATGGAAATGAAGTCAAATCCAACTTGCGTTTAATCTACTGTGCATAGCATAATATATAGAAAGATTGATTTTTATTTCCTGCCAAGCCAGTCAGCCTCCTCACATTCACTCAGTGTGGCTTAATCTTGTATAACATATAAAAATATATTACGGTCAGTCTTTAAAGTGTGGGAAGTAGTTTCTGATGGGCTACATCAACACTTTCACTGTGTAAAGTATGGTCTAGTTTAGTTGGGATTCACAGATCAGTGAGTGAAAGTGTGGCGCTTTAAGCACCACACAACCTCTGATCTAGTTGCTCTGACATACACAGTACATGAGGTTTAGTTTATCAGTGAAAACACTTTCACTTGGCATGGTGTGATGTCACATTTTTAACAAGTTCTCTTTCTGTAATGGCAGCAACTGTGCAAAACAATATACTGTAAAGTCAGATTCCTAAAGGTGAGATGGATTAAAAAGTCTACAAGAGTCTAATATGTAATAACAAAATTCCATCATTTCTTTGATATGTTAATTTTAACAACTTACCAGCCAAATTTACATATAAGGCATCTTCATTATAACTGACATGAATGGGCTGGACTGAAAATGTAAAAATATAAGTTAGGGTCAGAAATTATTGTGAAAAAATTGCAGTTTTGTTCTTTTATGTAAGGTTTATTTGGAATTGTATCATTCTACCTTTAAACTACCAAACACTAAATAAATTGCATGACATTCAAATTAAAGGTGTTTTTCTGACGGTGTGGAAAAATGATTAAAAAATGCACACAATTTAAAAACACAACTTCAAATGAATTTTAATGTTGTTCTGCACACAGACAGAATCTATTTTTGTTGTATTTTCCTAAATTGAAACTGTCTCGCCAGCCTTGTTGTTATGAAAAGCAGAGATGACGAAAACATTCACAAATGCACTCCAAAATGTCACCAGGGACAAATATGTTTCATTCTTCCACATTTAACATTTTTAATACATGCTCAGTCTGTGAAAACGGTGTTACCAACAATTTAGCTGCAATGATCACAATTAGCTGTCGCTGTGAACATTAGCTTAATCAGAACTTTTAGCCAGCAAAAATTGTCACAATTGGAGGTGACATGTAATTGGACGGACTGTAACGGACCACCGATCTTAAAACCCCCTGACGTGTTTTCTACTTAGCAACTAGCCGAGATAAGCTCTTGATAGGTTAGGACGGAAGAGTATTGACTTTTTTTCTGTGCTTGAGTTTTCCAAAAATAGCAATTCAATGCTCAGTTTAGTTTTCATTACAGTAATTAAAAATTGGAATTAAAACTAAATCATAAATCAACCCTAAATTGCTTATTAAGGTTACTATGGGAGCTTTACAGTATTTAATTCCATCATTTTTGTTTGTATATGAGAAAATAGAAAATACAAAAGGTTGAGGATGTTACTCACACAAACACACATTAAAGGAGAGTAACAGCAGGCTTTGTCTCACAATCGTAATTTTACTGTTCAATAATACAGAGCAGAAAGTATATAAATATAAATAAATATTGTTACTGTTATAATTGTTATATGATCATACTTCAAAAAGACGGACATCTTTGAACGATAAGTCACAAGGATGGCATCAAATCACTTTCAGCTCAGTTCGAAATACAAACTGCAACACACATTCTATTTGAGTCTGAACATGTATAGATGCACCAGTCTTCCAGTTTTTCAGAAATTATGAAAAAACTGAGTTGAAAGTGAAATGAACTGAGCACATATTGCCATGTAAAAAAATCAACTAAACAAACAACAGTTTCAATAAGTTGCAGTGAAGGCCAGCTGATGCCAGTGATGTAAGAAAATAAATAAAAAATAAACTCAGTTTCCTCTGATAGATGTTGAGATAGAAGTTAATATTCCCATGAATGCCCATTTTTAAAAGACTCATGAATCTTGAGCTAATGATGCACAAAGGTCATGTGACCACAATGCCTTCCTACCTTCTCAACCAACAAGTACGGAGCTCCAGAACGACGACCACATGGAGCTCATGGGCCATTTAAAGCTTGGTGATCCAAACACAGTGGATGTCATATCTGTGTCATTGTTGGTACATTTAAGTTAAAAATAATGTTAACAATAAAACACAAGGCATTATTCACAGTGATAAATCACCTATTTGAAGCCAACCTTCAAGTCTCTTTGAGTTGATTTTTATACTATAGTGAAAATTACAACTGGCTGCCTACAACACACATTCAAAACTGTAAAACACACTTGTAAGTTTAACATTACACAGATTTCCACATGCAAAACTGGTGGAATGGTTCTTTACCATCACTGTTAGAAAGGGTCATCACCCAGGATGTTGCTGTTTATCATTATCTTGGGAAGGAGTCTCACTCGTGTCGGACCAGTTTTAAGTTAAGTGAAATATGTGTGTGAAACCATAACAAATGGCAGTAAAACTGGATGTGACTGTGAGAAAACATATTATTGAGAAAACCCTAAACAGAAACAAAAGGCCTTTGCTTTATCTGATGCAGATGCCGAAGCAAAATATCAATATTTAACACAGTAGTTTGAATAATCTTCACAGTGTGTGTGGAGAAACGAACCAACTGTGGTTCAGCATCGGGGCTGTGATCCCAGAGTGTACAAATACACTTTTTAATATATTCTATGAGCACTGATGACATTCAGCAAGACTACAGCTTCAGTGTCATGATGCTGCCTTAGTCTGCTATGAGTTTTCTGTGTAGTTTACAAACTTGAAAATGGTTAATTTTGTTGGTTTTATGGATAATATGCACCGTACTGTATAAAGGAATGTCTATACTGTCTGATCCAGTAATGCCAACAAGTAAAGCACACTTCCTGAACCTCAGTTGATTCTGTCATGGAAGATGAGCACTGGCTGATGCTGTAATGTGGCTGAATGTGTTTGTGTTGCTGAACAGACCCTCACTTGTCTCCGTCCATGTTTGATATAGTAAGAGCCTCTTTCAGGCTGAAGAGACCATGCAGTTTGGAAACTGTACAGTTTACTGACTGGACTTCATGAAAATTACTCTGCACAAGAACTATGTAAACTTTCAATTCAAGTTAAAAACAGACAGTACACCAAAAACCAGAGCTATGAGGATTTCAAGTGAGTGACAGCAGCATTATGATAGTGGTTCTGTTTTCACATGCTCTAAGGTCTGCCCCACAGGCAGAGACACAAAGCAGAAGAGTTCAGTCACCGACATCAACTCCTAGCTTGTAATGAAATTCAGTGTTTGACTAAACCCTCCTTGGCATTAAAAAAGTTCCTAGGAGTTCAATCAGCATCTACGTGTCGCTGACAGAACTCTTCGTTTTGCACGTCTCTGGTGCACTGGCATCACGCACAGACCATAGAAAAACAGTAGCTTGTTACATTATAAATACTTGAATAGCAAAAATACAAGGGGTGCTTGATTCAGCTTGATGTTTCCCCTCCTGAGACCGTTGAGGCATCTGGAATGGTGAATCAAGCGCCCCTCACTAGCACAGAGATCTGAAAATGACTTTCAAACATTTACCATATGTACACAGTCAAAGCACTGAGACAGCAAGCTAAAGTTGGTCTTCTTAGCTGGTGCCATTATTGTAGTATATGTATGGTTTATCATATTGTAGGAACCAAAACACAACCAGAATGAATGGCTAGGTCCACCCTGTATCCACAGACACGTCTGAATGAGAGACTAGAGATGAACACACAGCAGAACAGGTATCAAGGCAAAAACCAGTTTGTCCTGGATGAATTCTGAAAGCAGCTCCAGTAACATTACCTCTAAGGCATGGTGATGAACAAAGTAAAACTCAGCTCCCACAGAGCTAAAACATAATCAACAGTATTTCAGCACAGTATATTCACTAAGACTGTAGTTTGAGCGCTCCACTCGGCAAGGCTGTTGCCTATCTCCAACCTTATATAGAACCTTTAGCACAATATACAAGGCAAAATATGAAAATTAAGGGTATTCGAATTAGAAATGAATCACATGTTGTAGGATTATTTGCGGACGACGTAATTTGTTATCTGAAAGATCCAGAAACATCCTTACCAGCACTAATCCACAGTTTGGAGGTGTATGGGTGTTACTCAGGATATAAATTAAATTTGGCAAAGACACAAATCCTAATGTAGTGGTTAGAAATAAACCAGATTCCAGAAGTGATATGTAATAGAACAGTATGTAGTTCATATAGATATTATTTGTAATAGTTATGTAAAGGTGAGCTCAGTGTGTACGGAAGCTTGAGCTGTCTCTGGCGCAGGCAAGAATATCTGTGTCCCCCTTGATTAACTTATGGGTCAACATCCTGAGTGACTTCCTCCTCTGATAGGGAGTGGATATACAGTTTATGTGAACTGTTCGTGTGCTCTGTCCAGGTTTAGAAAAGGTTGAATTTATGTAATAAAAACTATGAGGCAAAATGGAAAAATATTCAATGCTTGGTACAGGGAAGGGAACTCAAGTATTATTGGTGAGTTGGAGACAATTAGGAACTTATTAAAACATGTCAATACTGTGACTAGATTGACATTAGAATTGTGGCTTTACGTAGTACGAAACACAAACTAGAAAGGGAGCTCTGCCTATTTAAATGGCCTGCCTATACTAACACTTTCACTCCAAATGCATATGCCTCTAGATTTAAACAGTGGATTAACAATGGCATTACAGCCCTTTGTTTATTAGTAAAGGATGGTAACGTTAAAAGATTTCAGGAACTAAAACAGGAATTTGATCTAACAAACTGTGATCACTTTCGATACCTACAATTGAGAAACTTCTATGATAAAGAAGTAAAGCACAAAGTTGATTTAAATAAGGGTATCATTGGCATATACCACTCTAAAAGATATAGGATCATATCCACTCTCTACAAGCACCTAAAGGAAAAGAAGGGATTCAATACATTGTAGGTAAAATGAAAATGAGAGACAGAACTTGGTATTGCGATTTCAGATGGGGAGTGGATGAATATCTGGAAAACTCAACAGTCAACGACCTCTTCACAGGAATGGAGGGAACCCTGCTGTAATACGATTTTTTATTACACCTAAAATTACAAGCAAGTACATGTCCAGAGTTCAGCCATGTTGGAGAGAGTATGGAAATGTAAATGTAAATCATTCACGTGTTCTGGTTATGTCCTAAAATTGTACCATTCTGGGATGATGTGCACACTGTTATTGTTAAGATACTAAGATACTTTACGGCATCCCCAAAACATGTGTAGTTATGTATCTAGGACACCACACGGGAAATAGTTAAAGAAGATGGATACCTGTTGAAAATACTGTTGGCGGCCTGCAAAAAGGCCATCACCAAAAAATGGTGTAGGCCTAACATACCTACAAGAGAAGAATGGCTTCAAATTGTACACATCATTTTTGAAATGGAGTTTTTGATGTATAAATTAAGGACTCAGGTGGAACGATGTCAAGATAAATGGGAGAACTGGGCAGTCTTCACGTCAGCAGCCAAAAATGAACACTGAACTGCAACAACTATATGTCTGTATCAGAATGTCCCAACTGTTCTTTGTGTTTGGTTTTGATGTATAAAACCGAAAATATCTTAAAAATAAAGTTAGAAAAAAAAAAGACTGTAGTTTGGGGCACATCAGGTCACAGTAATCTGATATAATGAGAGAAACTAGGGTGAGAATGTTTCTGAAAGCCTTACAGCATAACCCAGCTCTTACTTTGGTAGTTTTGACAACTTTACTCGAAGGTAATACGGATGTATTCCCCTCACATTAAAACAAATTTGAATACTGTGTGACGGGAGAAAAAAAGAAAATAAACACCGTTTTATACTTTACTGTCCTTTCTACATTGATATTTACTGAATACTAAGAAGAATAACACCCAAGTTATAATGCACTGGAATTATCCTAAACAGTTGTTCAGCACCTGATTTATTGATTTTAAAGGCTACATTTTATTGATAGACCACAGTAGCTGCATGTCTGTTCTCTTTCAAATGCCTGTGGGAAATTTCCTCTCTGCAGAAAACCACACATTTAACTCCAATTCAAACGTCTCCTAAGGAGCTGCAGCGCCTCCACACCACCACCACAAATGACAGTAAACCAGTGTTTTTATGTTGGCGCCCTGCTCGTGCATGCTATCATGCTGATGCCCACCACTTGCAGAAGGCCTAAGGTTGTAATCACACTGGAATACCACAGATACTGTGATGAGCAATGTCTGTTTGAAATGACTTAATACCTGCAGTGTGCTTGCTGTCCAACTTTAGCTCTCTGTCCCATTACTTCATTTTTTGACAGAAGGGGTATTTTTTTTTGCCAGTCAGAAAGTGAAGTACAGTGCATACAGTTCCTCTTCTTTTGCAGTGATTTCTTTGTTTTGTCCTGCCTCCACTGCCCTCGGCTCCGATGGTGCCACAGCGCTGGCCTCAGGAAGGCTGAAGGAAGAAAAGAACATTATCTGTTAGAATGCCAACAAGGGACAGACACAAACATACAGATGTCAACAGTTAGATATACATAGTTGGTCAGGCAGAGTGAAACCCCCTTGCATGCTGTGACTTTGAGCAGTGCTCGAGCGCAATCAGGGAGATCAAGTGAGTGCTTAGGCCAAACAAGTGGAAGCTGGGGAAATGCCCGCAGTCTAGGATGTAGCTTGGTGATTTTCTGAGTCCATGGCCACACCTTCCCCATACTGACATGAGAAGCAATTTGGAGTTCAGTGCTTTGCTCATGAACAGTTTGACAGGAGGAGCTCCACCTGACCTATAGCCACCCCCACGTTAATTTTTACACCTAAAAAGCATAATCCATCTAGTTGATATCCCCTTGTACCCTGTGCAAAGCCATGGAGCAGTAGAGCCTGGTTGATGAGGGCTGCACCTTAGACGGGTCACCAATCTATCACAGGGCTGACAGACAGACAGACAGACACACACACACACACACATACACACACACACACACACACACACACACAAAACTATTCACACTAGAGTTTACCTGACTTACACGTCTTTGGACTGTGGGACCAGACACGTGGGCAGGCACAGGGAGAGCATGCAAACTTCACACAGACCCCTAAGCCCAGTATTATATAAGAAATGGCTAGAAAATTGTAAACACATTCTGGCTGAGTGCTCCCAGATATGTCAAAAAGACTCCTGGATGATCAGAACTTGAGCTACAGTATAGAGCCAATAAGGGTTAAAGCCTCAAACTTCTGAATCAGAAATAGATATTTCTACAGGTGCTACAGTAAATAATATGGAACAAAACACAAAGTGTTTCCTGCTCATAAAATCATCCTTTCAAACTATTTGGTTCACTCGGTTTACGCTCTCCAGTGGCAGACATTCAGTCACTTCTTTTTATATTGGTGCCCACTGCCCAAAGACAGACACAACAAAAGAAACACACAACGTTCAAAATCTGATTTTTAGAGATACTTAAACTCAGTTTCATTGTCAAAGCAGTGGATGTGCTGAACAGAGCTTGTGTTGAATGCCGTGAATTCACTGATCTTCTTTCCTCCACAGTGATCCACTTAGTGCCGTGCAGGTTGTGAAGTAAGCTGGATTTCTGCTTCGGTGTTTCATTTCCCGTACAACCCCATGCCCACGAGAGCTACTACATCAGTTTTAAAATCAACCCCAGAATCGTTTTTGAGCTAATACATTATACAGTGTGGGCAAAGATGCTAAAAGTCACATTTTGGTCACATATGCACCAAACTTTGGGAAGTAAAGTGTAATAACAGTACAAAATGTGTTCACTCCTCACTGAAACATCTAAGAATGAGTTCAGTTGATTGTTTTGGTACTGAATTGAGACTGGTTGTCGTTGATACAAATAAAATAAAATACACCAAACGTCATGTCAAATGTTGTCATTTATGTCCATATACTGTTCTCTAGTGAGGTCCATCTATGTAACGGAGAGCTGCAGCTAGTTGACATGCAGGTTCTTCTGGTTTTAATTGCCTAAGAGTAGACAAAGAATTAACAAGCCCTTGCTCAGGCTTGGGGGAGAGGGGTGAGGAGAAAAGGAGAGAGTTGGGAGATGAGGAGAACGGGGGCAAAAAACAGCACATAATTCACTCCTTGAATAAAGTGATGTGAAGGTGAGCTGAGGGCAGCGGTGGAAGGAAGTCACAGTTCTCACCTCCTAAAGCTTAGTAGGCCCTGATGCTGTACCAGAGGTTCTTGAAGATGAGGAGCATGAGGAAGAACAAGGCTTGACATGGGATGATGTGGAGGATGAGGAGAAGGAGGAGGAAGAGGAGGAGGATGCTGAGGAAGAGGCAAAGGAGAAAGAGAGCTGAACAGCGGCAGGGCTTTCCTAGATCGGGGGAGGGACCTCTGGAGTGGGGAGTGAGGAGGTTCAAAGTGGCCTCCCGGTCCTACCTCCTCCACCTCCTGTCCTTCCTCTTCCTCTCCTTCATGACTCATGGTAGGAGGGCTGATGAATCGGAGAGCTGACTGGCTAGGAAAGCTTGCAAGTCCGTGATGTGATTGGCTGCCTGTTTTTAACTAGACACACATAGGAAGCAGGGTCGGGGGAAGGTGATTCTATATTACAATGATGTACTTTTTTAGTAAACTCTCTCAGTATGAACTGTGCACTGAGAAGCTTAGCCAGCTTTTATTTTTAACAGTGACATTAATTTGATAGAAACCACAGGAAAGTGCAAACTGAGCTTTATTTGGACTTTGAGAACAGAGGAGTCAGCGATAACAGCAGCAACTCCTGGTGCATCATGCCAGATGTACAAGCCCAACACCTGCAGCATGCTGCTGAACTAGAACAGTATCACAGCTTTGTTGTTTACATAAGCTGTCAACTGCGAGGCTGCACTTAGGCACAGTTTTACTAATGTGATCACAACAACAGGGTTAACATGCTGATGTTTTGACCAACTACTGTATGTACTACAGTACTACAACATGTCAGCCTGCTAGTACTTGCTATAATTGATGGGAATGTCATTAGGTTTCCAGCTATCTGGTCCAAAACCAAAGTGGACAAACTGAAATTTTGACCTGCAGAAGGCACTAGAGAAAAACTGGAATCACCAAAGTAATCAGGATCACAAAAGTCCATATACACCGATCAGCCATAACATTCTGACCACTGGCAGGGGAAGGGTATAACACTGACTATCTGTTACAGTGGCCCGTGATGACTGGGTCAGATCATCTCCTACACTACAGGTCTTGGTGGGTGTTGTTGGTCTGAAGTGGTTAGTAGCTACCAACAGTGTCTAAGGAAGGACAAATGGTGAACTGGAGACAGGGTCATGGACGCCCACAGCTCACTGATGATGAGGTTGACCTACTGTAGATTAAAGCTTTAACTTCCATTTGTACTTTTCAAAAGATTAAAATGTATTAATGTATTTGAATCTTTGTTAAAATGGTTGAAAATGAGAAACACTGTCCATTGGTCTCTATGAAGAGAAAGAGTCAGGGGCTGTAGTGGTGATATCACACCTAGAGTGGTGAGGCTGTTGGATTGGTCTAAACAATTCTCTATAACTCGTCCTCACGACCACAGTTTTCACTCCTTTTACATAACTTTTTCACATCTGTGCTCTTCCTGACAGTAGAACTGGTAGTAAATGGATTCACAGAAGATGCACAGTGAGCTGCAGAGTGACATGAGGGCCAACCAACTGCCACATTGACTCCTATGTAAACAGTAGTAGGCAGGTGGTCATAATGTTATGGCTGATCGGTGTAAGATTTCATGGCAACCAATCTTGCAGATGTTGAGATGCTTCTTTTTTTCAGTCAGTCTCCTTCTCTTCTTACAAGATGTGATTAGACAGTGCTTAATGCAAAAACACCTGAAAAGCTTCCTTGTTGTTGCTTGGTATATTCCTGAGAAAAATGCTGTTTCTCAGAATTAGTTGTAAAAATTTCACATCAGCAAGGTCAATTCCTAGTTATTTAAGTAGTTGTACATTTCTTCTGGTTGTTGTGGCATCTCAAATGTTCACAATGTCATTACATTTAGCAGAACTGCAGATGGTTCATAATACAGTAAATGTGCATGTGTCTACATTTTTATTACACAGGTGCACAATATGTTTAAGAATGATGGTATTAAGACAAATATGCACACACAACAATGTGGAATCCTGCACATTTAAGCTTAGAAGTGAATCATTGATGCAAATGTTATATGACGAGCCCATAATGAGAAATACAGAGAAAATGACAAGAAGGAGAGATGCTGAAATCAGGCGGTATTGTTTCTGTTAAGCAGCAGGTTCGACAGCTGCGTACGCAGCTTTATACCCAGACATCAGTGTGATATCAGTCGGATGACGGGTAATGTTCACGCTTTCAGGAAGAATGGAGTGATTCTGTGGTGATTCATAGTGCTCAAACAACAAGGAAAGAAAAACTAAAAAAGAACAATAAGATGATGAAATCACTTGAAAATAATTAAATATACCAGAAAACACTAAATAAAATCAAGCACAAGGACTACAAACACTCCACTAGTCGTATTCACCATCAACATCTAATATTTGGGTTTAATAAGGTACAATTACAATACAATTATCTACAGCATGTTTTAATTGTCCTTGTTCCTTGTCATATGGTTGCAGCTCTGCTGCAGGTCAATTTCAACACAGACAAATCTACTGTGCAAGTATTCTTATGCCATCAATAACTTTATTTGACAACTGTGTATGAAAATAGTTAATGGTGCCAAACTGCATGCTGCAGCTATCAGTGTGCTTTTAAAACGGCTTGCAATAAAACCAGGCTGATGTAGAGTTTGTATGACAAACAGCTTCTTCTGGAGATCTGTGTGCCTGTGTATGAACTTCAGGTGTAGTCATGTGTAGGTGTAGTCTTCTTACATGACAAAACATGGCTGTGTGTATTTAGTTCTACATTATTTGACATTCAAACTGTTTGCCAACTCCAGATGAAGCGTGTGATACAAAAATCCATCCTAGAAGTGTGGTGTTAAAGCTATAGCCCACTGTGTTGAGCGTAACAAACCCATGGTCCTATATCCATGACACTGAAAACAGACAGAACAGGTTTTGGTTTGAAGGGTGCTCAACTCAAACAGGCAGATGATGTCACAAATGGCCACGGGATCCTTGATGCCCAAGCCACTCCCACTGAGTGGCCACTCATACTCTGGGGTAGGAGACCACTCACCTTGATTAGAGGGTTGATGACACCGACATTGGCACTGGAATTGAAGACCTTGTTGAAACCCGTCTCTCTGTTGACCAAGTCCAACTGGTAGAACTTCTTGTCATCCTATACAAAAAGACAAGATAAAGCTAAAGGGATAGTCCACTCAAAATTCACCCAAGTCTTTTGAGTATATAAAATGTTTTCACGGTCCGCAGAAACTTGAGTGAAACAAGTCCAACACATCTGGCTTGTGCACAAGCTTCACAGGGGTATGTATGAAGAGTGAGTCAATGTATTCAGTCATAGTTTTCCAAAATCCCCCCCCACCAAAGGTTGCATACTAGTGTTTTACATGGCTTTTAATAGCATCTCTCTGCCTTTATCCTTCATCAAAGGACTGATGATGACCATAAGCAGACTGTGAAGACTGTGAAATGCACAGGACCTTATCCCTGACACCAGATGGCACCCAGTGTACTCACCACCAGCTTTTTGACCAGAGCTTCTCTTTCGGTCACCATCTCTCTGAGTTCTGCTATAAGATGCAGGTCTTCTGGTCGACTTTCTCTGTTTCTTAACTTCTCCTCCGTACCCTCCAACCTGGACTCACAGGCATGACATATGAAGGAGTGAGCTAAGTGGGAAGATAGCTGGGTATACAGCATTATTACAAAGTTACAAAGTGTGTAGCAAAGAAAAAAGCAATGATTTTACCAACTCTGAGACTTAAGCCCCTCACTTATGACTTACAGTATTTGTAGAGCAGAAATCTTGTCTTTGAGGACCTCCTGGGCCTTGTTGAAGTCTGCCAGCATGATCTGTGTTTCTCTGTGATGGACTGCACTTAGCTCACCCAGCTCCCTCTCATGTCTCTTTGAAAAGTCTTGCTCATGGGCCCTATGGCAGAAACAAATCAAACTCAAATAAAACTCAACATGTGATGTGTGCAAGTTTCATATACACGATTACACCTTAATAGGTATTACTTATGTGCCATTAGGGGCTTTTAATGCACAAATACCTCATCATGAATACAGTTCACAAATACACTTAATTTCCTGGCAGGAAACCATGACACTGATGCCACTTTTTACTAAATTATAGAGGACGATGACACGATGTGCAGCTGCAAGCAGAGCTGCTACAGGGAACATGGAGCCTCATATTATTCTACTGTAAAAAGATACAGTATGTTATCCATGACTACTGGGTTCATATCACAGTAGTGAGCAGCATTCATGTACTATATGGGACCAGAGCAGGTTTTTCATTCTTCCTTGCAGTTAAAAAGGACCTGAATTACTGCAGACATGGGCTGTTAACTCCTCAAAATACTACAGTAGCTGATGGACATTAGTATTCCAAAAGTGAAAATAAAATGACAATTATAACAGAAAATCTGTGCAACTGGAGCTCTGGAGTTTGAAACGTTTACCTGACAGTGACAGTCTAATGACAGATACTACTACTAGATAATACTATTGAGTTGCATTAAGAGTAGTGTAGGATCTTTGTTGCCTGACCCATACTAGAAACTAAAAATCAAAATAGTTCAGTCTCTGTTTCGTTGATTTTAAACATTCATTTTTTTTAAATCTATTTTGAGTCAACCACAAATTCTAACTACACAACAAAATAAGTGTGTTGCATGTTGGAGCTGAGTAAAGTGTGTGTCCTTAAAGTCTTGATCAGAAGCTGAGCAGGAACAAAGTCGGGGCAGAGAGTTTCAAAGCATGAACACTTCCCTAGATGCTGCTTTTAATTATAAGCTGTTCAGATGGTTATTCCCATATGATACGAGTGCAGGATTAGGTGTCTGCAAACTGGGTCAGCTACTGTTGAGTCATGGTTTAGTCCTGCCCACTCAGTAGTAATAACATAAATGGGAAGGTTTTGCATATGATATATAATTGTGAAAATTAAAGGGGGTATTCAAGGGGACCCTCTGATAGTGAAGTTCATATTTAGCTGTAAATCTTCTACGGGACCATTAGGATGTTATGCACCTTATCTGATGGTTCGCTTCACTGCGGACCCGAAGCACCTCTTTGCCCTTCAGCTCCAGCTCTCTGGTTAGAGTGTCGATGGTTTCATTCAGAGAGTGGATCTCATGGTCCAGATCGGTGATGCGGTTGCTACGTGAACACACCTCTGCTTGCAGGTCCGAGATGCGAACCAGGAGCTCTTGTTCCTGGAAAATATACATGTAAGCTGTACATGTTAATAGAGAAAAACACAAAACAGATCTACTAGCTAGTTGCTAGAAGACTGGCACAGACATACTGTAGGTCACACACATGCACAGACACAAGAAAAGAACAAAGAAGAAAAAAAGATGACTTACCTGCTGGCGACTGTGCTCCATAGCTTTCTCTAGCTCTCTTTTGGCAGCACTGTTTTCTTTGAGGTGGATATGCTTTAGATGCTCTATGGCTGCAGCATGGAGGTGGTTCAGCTCTGCACGAAGAGAGGCTGCCGGACAGAAACACTGCAGTTGAAGTGAGGCAATGTCTGCACATGGGGTGAAAACACTGAGCAACACAACAACAGCTGTAATAACTACGAGAACAGACAGGACAGTTTGATGAAAACCAGTGAATACATGCAGAAGCGCGCTCACTCAGGGTATATTCTCTTCGTTCCTCGTCAATACAAAGTAGAGCTTTCTATCAGATGACTCCTTTTTAACCTTTTTAAACTTGAGATTAAAACTGATGACACAGTGGACATCAGACGCAACTGCAGACTGTTTTTTATATCATAAAGTTTAGATTTGACATCTAATCGCCCTGCCACAGGGAGAGAGGTTGTCACTGTGGATGGGAAACTAATCAATATGACTACAAACACAAGTGAAAAGCACGGTTTAATATGCATCATCATTTACCCAGCTTTGCTTTCCCCTCGTCTTCCAATTCAAATCGCAGCGTCTGCAGCTCCTGGTCTGACTGCTGTCTCAGGATCTCTAGGGTCCTCCTGTGGGCCTCCTTAAGGGCGTGAACCTCCTCCCTCTGCTCCTGCTTCAGACGCTCCTCCAGGGCCTTGCAGAGGGCAGGAAAGAGGAGATTAAAGAGGGAGAGAGAAGGAGAATGGAGGACAGAAAGGGTGCAGAAATAAAAAAAACTGAGATGATATGTCACATCAAAAATACAAAATTGAGAATCCTCATTGGTGGTGTCTTAATATTGACGCAATCTGAAATTTGGTTGCATTTATGAAGCCGATGCAGACAATTAGTAAACATGAACACTGTAGTTGTGTCCCAGGTTTTGGATAAGTGGTGCTCAAATTGGAAAAGCGACCATAATAAGAGCACTCCAAAGACGTAATCTGCTTACCGAGTGTGGTGTTAGGGCGCTGCTCACAGCCACAAAACATTTCAACAAATAGGGAGACAGCTTTATGGGATTCAGGAAAGACAGAATGAAGAATAAAATCATTGGGATAACATTCTCCTCTCTCTTTGTGAGGTTTATTTGTCATTGGCAGTATATAACAGTATGAAAATTCATATGTCGGATAGAAATGGGACTGTGGAAATGTGGATTTGGCCATTTGTTAAATGAAAAACAGCCGTCTTGTAGCAAATCTGCAATGTCTCAGTGAAAACGGTCATGCAAATTATGGGCAAAATATACATAGGTAAATTATAAATACAGTTCATGAATACACTGTATATATGCATGTAGCTAATGGCCACATAATCAGGTGTATTGTTAACAACTGTTTGGTTTTACAGATATAAAAACGTGACATTTTAAAATGTTCAATT